GCGGGGCCGGCAGCTCACCCGGGGACGATGGATGTGCTAGACAGTCCTGCAAGGCTGCCAGTTTTGCGATTACAGCCTTGCAATGGCCGCGGATTTCCTTGCAGGCTGATCGACCGAAGAGAGCCTTCCGAGGTTCTTCCAATGTATGTGGCTCTTGAGCACTTGAGCACTGGATAGGGTCGATTCCGCGTGGTACGGGACCCCTCGATCGTCTCGCCCTCACTGGTGTGTTCATTGGGGGGGGTCATAAACAACAAACACGGTACAGGATCGAGGTGCATGCACGCTGCTGAAGCAGTGTCGTCCCCCCTCTCCCCGACGGCGATGGCGGTGTGACGGTAGAAAGGTCAAGAACAGCCAGGCTCGGACCGCCCTTCACCTTCTCCCCAACGAAAAAAACGCCGGGTGGCGTCCTCGCCTTCCCCGCTCACATGACGAGGCTTTTCTGCCTCTTCGCGCTCGTCGGTGGAGCCCGCGCCGGCGCGCTCGGCCTGGACGTGGGCGGCTCCAGTTCTGTCATCGCCGTCGCGCGCAGAGGTGGCGTGGACGTCTTGGTGAACGAGGCGACAGAGCGGTCGACGCCTTCGCTCGTCGGCTTTGACGGGCGCAGGCGCCGGCTTGGCCTGAGTGCTTCTGCCACACGCTCGCGCAGCCCGGAGGACGTGATCGCCCCGAAGCGCCTCGTCGGCCCCAAGTCGGCCGAGTCGCTACAACCTCGCCCCGCAGTCTCGCTGAAGACGTCTGGCGACGGCTCCGTCTCGGCTGAGGTCGAGTACTGCGGCCAGCGGCGCACATTCACGGCGGTCCAGCTGTTTGCGATGCTGCTCCGCCACCTGGCGGCCACGGCAGAGCGGGACCACGGCTCCGCGCTCCGCGAGGCGGTGATCGCGGTGCCTCACCGCTACAGCGCAGAGCAGAGACAAGCCGTCCTCGATGCGGCTCGGCTCGCAGGCCCGCGCCTCTCCCGCCTCCTGCCCTCCGCACCCTGCCCTCCTCCCGCCTCGCTCGGCCCGTCGAGCCCGCCCCCTCACCCCCCACCCACTCCCCACCGCCTACCACTCACGTGCCCACCGCCTCGCCGACTCACCGCCTTGCCGCCTCGCTGCCTGACTGACACCGTCGCACTGCATCACTGCTACCGCCTAGTTGCCTCACTGCCGCTGCATCACTGGCACTGACTCACTGTTAGTGCTTCCTGACTGGACCTCGCCAACAGAGGGCTGCCGACCGCCAACAGGAACCTCCCCGTGCCCATGCCAAGAGATTTCACGCCCTGCCGGCTGAAGCCCCACCGGAGCGTCGGAGCGTGACCAAGAATCGCTCCCTGAACCTGCGATGCGCCACGAAGGACTGCGCCCTAAGGTGGACAGAATCCTCGCCCCCCACAGCCCGGCA